AAGTTCGGGTGTAGCCCCCACTCCGAAGGGTCCACTGTGGTGCGGCTTAGGAAGTCCGCTTGCTGGTTGTTGACCCCCGATATGTGTTCCGCTTTTAGTGACTTCAGATTGGGCTCTACCCAGCTGAATAGGAGTCGTGACTCTGTCATCAGGGTTTTTGATCTGGTCCCCCCCTGCCGATTGATGTGCGCCTTGGCTGCTACGTTGTCTGTTAGGACTAGAACGTGGTGGCCTCTGATTCTGTCTTTGAATTGTTGCAAGGCTAGGTGGATAGCCCTGAGTTCTAGCCAGTTGATGTTGTTTCTCAGATCCGTGGCGGACCAACGTCCCTGTACAAACTGGGAGTCCAGATGGGCTCCCCAACCATACAGACTGGCGTCTGTAGTGATGGTAACTCTGACTGGTTCCTTGAAGGGTGACCCCTTGGTCACGGCCCGAGAGCACCACCAGCGTAGCGCCCTGCGGATTTGTGCCGTGACCCTGACTAGGTGGTTGGATGCGCTGGTGTTCTGCCGTTGGTACGGGAGCAGAAACCACTGTAGTTCCCGTAGGTGGAGCCTGGCCCAGGGTACAATGGCTATGGCCGATACCATCTTGCCCAATAATTGGGAAAGTGTTAGTATCGGAACTGAACGTTGCCTGTGAACCCAGCGAGCCAGTTCCCTGATGCCGGCCACCCGGTCTTGGGAGAGATAGACCATACAGTTGGTTGTGTCTATCATGGCCCCCAGATGCAGCAGCCTGGACGAGGGAACTGTCTGGCTCTTCTGAAAGTTTACTGAGAATCCGTGTAATTGGAGGACGCGAATGACGGTCCTTACGTCCGCCTGAGCTGTCTGTAGGGATGTTGCTTGGATTAGTATGTCGTCTAGGTAACATTGGACGCGTATTGGGATTTTTCTCAGTTTGGCGGCTACCGCTGCTAGTATCTTGGTAAATACCCTGGGTGCCGAAGATAGACCGAAGGGGAGAGCTCTGTATTGGAAGTGTTTTCCCCCGTAACAGAAACGTAGGAACCGGCGGTGGTTTGGGTGGATGGGGATGTGAAGGTAGGCTTCCGTGAGGTCTATCGATGCCAGGAAGTCTCCTTCTCTGATGCTTCCCAGGATGGACTGAAGGGATTGCATCTTGAATTTTTTGTATGTGATGTAGCGGTTGAGGTTTTTTAGGTCCAGGATTGCCCTCCATCCTCCTGAAGTCTTTGGAACCACAAAGAGGATGGAGTAAAATCCTCTGCCTCTGTATTCCGCTGGGACCGGTTCTATTGCTTGAATGTCCAACAGGTGTTGGATGGCCTCCTGCATGAGTTTGCGTTTGGTGGGGTTCCTGGAGACCGAGCAGTTGATGAGTCGGTCTGGGGGTGTGACCAGGAACTCCAGGGACAGCCCGGACTGGATGGTTTGTAGTACCCAGTTGTCCGTGGAGGTCTGCTCCCACTGGTGGAAGAAGTGAGCTAGTCTTCCTCCAATGGGTAGGTCTATGTAGGAGTCATTTTGTCTTCCGGTACGGACGACCCGTTCCACGAAAGGGTCGTCTCGACTGGTTTTGTTGTCTGGGCTGGAACCCCGGTCTGTCGTAGGGGCGGCCGTACGGTTTGTTCTGCCTGGGAGTGAATGGCTTGGGTGCCTGACTGATAGGCGTGGTTGTCGGTTGGCGAAAGGACTGCCTACGAAAGTAAGGTGTGGTACGTTTGTCTGACCTTTTGTTCAAGTGTGCCATGACCTTCCGCTTGTCTTTGTTCTCTACAAGATAGGGGTCCAAGGCCTCCCCAAACAGACCGTTGCTTGAGTAAGGGGCGGTCGCTAGCCGCCACTTAGCCTTGGTGTCAGCTTGCCAGTGTTTTAGCCATAGCATTCTCCTGGCAATTATGTTGGATGCTATGGATCTGGATGAAAAAATGGCCGATTGGAACGTTGCGTCTGCAGCGTATTCCGTGGCTGCTACCATCTTAGCCAGGTCCTGGTGTGTTCGTATGTCCTCCATAGGAACTATGGTTTGTAGTTGTTGCAACCAGATGAGGGTGGCCCGGACAAAAAAGGAGGCCGAGGTGGCTGCTTTGATGGCCCATGCCGCTGTCTGGTGGGTTTTGCGAAAGGCTTGTTCCCACTTTTTGTCATCTGCCTTAAGGGCCTCCACTAGGTCCCCAGCCATGGCTGTCTGGGAGACCAAGGGGGTCCAGGCTTCATCTACTTTAGGAATTTCTAAGGCCTCATTGAGGTCTGTGGCAGTGCTGTATAATTTTTTGTCCGTACCACTCACTGATGGGAAGGAAGCGGGAGAGTCCCATGGCTTCTTGATCCCTTTCAGGAAAATGGCGGGGCAAGGTATATGGTGTTGCGTTGTCACCTTTTCTACGAATACGGGTCTGGATGTGGTGGCCGGTGTCGCTTGCGGCTGAGAAAACTGATCCGTCCCCATGTCCGCAATGGCTGTGGCCTTGCGTAGTATCGTGAGGAAGCGGTTGGGATTAAATAATCCCCCTGAGGGGGGCTCAGGGGGAAGTTCCTCATCCTCTGACATAGAGATCCCAGGTTGATCCTCCTCTTGTGGTGAAGAATAACCACTCATGGAGGACTGGGCCGGGGAGACGGGTTCCTGAATGCCTGAGGACTCTGAGGGGAGTTCCGAGTGTGGCATGGCTGAGATGGAGGGCCCCTGGTCGTGGTGGGCGGAGCGCTGTGCTAGGGCTCGGTCCACCACTTTGGTTAATAGGGCCTCTAGCCGTCCATCTGCCCAGATGTCCCCTATGTCATTACCTTTGGGTGTGGTGACCGCAGGTGGAGAGTTGGACTCAGTGGTTGTGCCTGCCGCCGTGGTTGTTTGTTGGGCTGATGTAGATGGCGGATCCAGTGGTTGCGGTGTTCCTGGAATGGACCACGCGCTCTGGGTTGATGTGGATGGACCCAATGGTAATTCCATCTCGGTGGCCGCTATTTGAACCAATTCCAATTGGGCCTGCCTCTGCGCTCTGGAGAACTCCTTCTCCAGGGCCTGGTGCCTACGGCTGGCTTGCTTTTCCGCCAACTTGGAGGGCCTCTTGAGCGAGTGTTTTGTCTTCGCTTTGCACTTGCCTGCCGCCTTCTGGTCAGAAGGTGTGTTGCAGCCGTAATTGGGAGGTGGAGGGGTCGTGCTCATGGATTGAGGCAACGAGGGTCCCTCCATTCCGCTTGAGCAGTCCCAGAAAAACTGAGAAGACGCTCAGGCAGGCAAGTATTGGCAGGAGCGAAATTGGAACAAGTACCAGGACTGTTCCCCTGATCACCCGACCACAACAAAAATATTCTCTCTGGGCTAAGGTCACGGTAGCTGAGGGAGGTACCGAAGGCACGTTTGGAACCACTCTTTGGGTTCCGCCCGGAGGCCTTAGGTGACCAGGCAACGTGCACCAGTAGAAAAAGGAAAAGGGAGGCAAAAAATATCAGTGGCGACCTCAAAAGGGTCTGTAGGCCTGACTTAATACACAGCAGGTATCAAATGGCGGTCACCTAGAGTGGAATTTATTCTTATTAATACTATTACTATTATACTAATAATAGGAACAACAATAATAAAATAATAATAATAACAACAACAACAATAATGGTGATGATGATAATATTGTGTGTTCTGTCTTTAGGCCTGTTGGCCCTGCAGTCGCTTAATTTTTAGCTTTTAAAAAAAATTTTTTTTTAATTATTATTATTATTATTATTATTTTTAAAATTTATGTATCTATTTTTATTATTATTATATTTTGTCCTATTATTATATGTGTGTATCGGGGGTGGAGCGCTGGTTGTGTGCTCCTATTCCGCCTCTATCAGTGATTCCAGATATGATGTAGAGCTTCCTTAAGCTCGGTTTGCCTTTCTCTGGCAAGAGATGGCAGCCACAGCTCGTTTCTCCCTGAAAAAGGGCTTTGCAGATCCCAGGAGGGTTCTCTAGCCTCCGTTTCTTGGTTGGCTTACTCCCTTCCTGTGCTTCGTTTCCCTCTGAAGATAAGCTCCGCAGCCTCCCAGAAGCTGCTTGTGCCCGGGGATTTAAATTTGGCGCGCTGTGACGTTTTAAGGGAATCCCAGCCAGGGATTGCCTTTGTTGTCTGAAAACGGCAACTAAAATGGCGCCCGCGGTTGCCCTGGGCTGCTAGGGAATCTCCAATGATCCGAATTCAAGTTTGAATCCGGACCTGGAGATTGTTATTTTTTCCCCCAATTTGAGGAAAAAAATCCCTTGGAAGGTTGGGGAGAAAGGCTCAGCAAGTGGTCTCTGCTGATGCCTTTGTTCCCCCCCCCCTTTTCACCTCCAGAGCCCTAGGGCTGACTGGGATCCGTGGGGAGTTTTCCCCCCCCCCACACCCCCTTTTTCAATTTTAATATAGGATCAGGGATGATCCCAAGGAAAACTTAGTGGTTGGGGGAAAAGGTTCAGCAAGTAGTCTCTGCTGATGCCTTCTTCCCCCCCTTTTCACCCCCCAGAGCCCTGGGGCTGGCTGATATCTGTGGGGAAATTTCCCTCCCCACCAATCCCCTTTTTAATTTTAGGTTTGAGATCAGGACTGATCCCCAGAAAATTTTGTGGTTAAATTCCTATAGGTGGAAATTTTTTGGGAAGGGGAAGCCAATTATCAAGGGATAATCAATCAATGGATTTCTTGTCTAACCTGATAAGCTGAGAGCCACGCCAAAACGAGTCTTCTCCGAGCAGAGACCAAGTTAAGAATGGACTCCACAGGAAGTGGGGGCGTGTCAAGCTTTGGCTACTTGGTCTCAAGAGCAGGCAGACAGAGAAAACCCATCCGTGGATTATCCATCTCCTGTACTGGAGAACTCACTGTTTCCAGGATGGCTTCGCGGGCCACATGAAACCACTTCATGGGCCGCATCCGGCCCCCAGGCCTTGTGTTTGACATGTCTGGTATAGGACATTATACTGTACTAAGGGGACTGCTGACACTATGGGATCACTGGAAAGGGACTGTGGGAAGAATTATCCCCTAACTGGAATATGTGAAATATACTCACCACATCAAGCTCTGCCTCCTTTTTAAAAACAGAGTATGCCTCTTCATAGCCGTTAGAACGAAGATAATCTGCTATCGCTCGATTTCTAAACAAAGAGAGTTGGTTCAGAGATTAACATCACAGGAATTTTGAATACTCCCCAACCTATGTTACCTCCTATACTGGTTCTGCCAGAAACATCATGGAGACAAAACTGTCTCCTTTTGTTTTCAAATGGAAATCACGACTCATTACAATCTGTGTGTACATACATCTGCCATACTCTGTACAACATAAAACGTATTTTACAGTATATTTATTAGTAGTAACAGCAGTTATTTTGCCAGAGAACTGAGGAAATCAAGTCTTTGCCTGGACTTGTCAGAGGTTTCTGACATAACTGTTTCTTCTGTCATCCTAGACTGCTTTACAGTGTTAGGAGTGTTAGATACATGCCTAATTTCTATTCTGCAGAAGGAGGAATTGTGGACTTCCTAGTCATTTTAACCTTTTAGGGGAGATGGTGGCATAAAAAATTTAATAAATTAAAAAAAATCTACACGTCAGTAATTATAAGGGGGTGGCAGAGCACCAGGAGTTAAGATTGCATACATCCAGAACATTCAGCCACACATCTTTCTTTAAAAAAAATCCCACAGGGGCAAATGGAAATCCTGAATTAATTCTGCAATTAAATATGGACTGGGTGAAAATCACTCATCAAAACTTAAATCAGGTTTTAAAAGAATGATGGTACAGGTAACCCTCGACTTACGATGATAATGGACCCCAAATATCTGCTGCTAAGCAAATTTTGCCTCATTTTATGACCTTGACACAGTTGTTAAGTGAATCATTGTAGTTGTTAAGTTAGTAATGCAGTTGTTCCCCACTGACTTTGCTTGTCAGAAGATTGTAAAAGGTGATCACATGACTCCAGGACACTGTGACTGTCATATATGGGAGTCAGTTGATAAAGTGTCTGAATTTTGATCATGTGATTATGGGGATGCTGCAATGGCTGTCAGTGTGAAAACCAGCCATAAGTCATTCTATTCAGTGCTGTTGTAACTTTGAATGGTCACTAAACGAACTTTTGTTAAGTTGAGGACTATTTGTAGAGGGCGTGGCTTCCAATTCAAGTAGCTCATTATTGAGACACAGAGGCCAGGATCTTTCTTGAACCAGCAGATGCAGATCCAAGAATCTCTCCTGTATTCCCAAACAGCAGCTCTGGCACTGTACTCTTTCTTGATAACTGAGTTTAGTCTTAAGGACCTCCCCATCTAAGTAATCTCTTACATCATTTTCTTGCAGTACAACTAACTGATTTAAAGCCTGAACTGATCCAACATATCAATTTTGCAATTTTGTCTTATTCCAGCTGCAAATATCATGCTGTCAAGGTTCCGATAAACAGGACCAAACAAATCAGAACTCCAAGGCTTGAAAATTCCTCAAAGAACATGTTTATTGGTTACATAGTATCAGCATGGTCAAAAGTGAAACCAAGTCTGAAGATCCCTTCAGAGAGAAACAATATTAGGAAGGTGAACTTCCTTCCCCACTACTATGTAATCAGCTCCATTCCCCAATAGAATAGTTTGGTGGGCTTTCTAACTAAATGCCCACGACCCCCACTAACTGGCAGAAATGACCTTGGTTCCCACGGGACAGTAAATTGTTTAGACCCCGCACCCCCTCCCATTCTTGTGGCAACCTAGAACAAGCAAAATGGCTGTGGCCAGGATTGTTGCAGAGTTGACACATGTAACATCAGACCTAAGACAGAGGTCCCCAACCTTTTGGGCACCAGGGACTGGTTCCGCGGAGAGAGGTTTTTCCACGGACCAGAGGGTGTGTGGTTTTGTGTGCTGCCTGCATTCCACGGATGGGGCTTTGCTTATTTGTACGGACCAGTTGCTGGCATGCCACGGAGCGAGGGTTGGGGACCCCTGACCTAAGAGATCTGTTTATATCCAGGATCAATGTAGTGCTGGTCCTGATCCTGAAGCCCTAGCTAAGCTGTTTGCAAAGATAATTTTTTCCATCCATATGCACTAGGACACAGGTCGGCAACCTGCGGCTCCGGAGCCGCATGCGGCTCTTTGAGCCTTCCCCTGTGGCTCCCAGCCTCCTCTGCCTTTGCAGAGAGAGACAGAGACAGAGAGAGGCAATTGCACTTCCCTGCTTCTCTCTCTCTCTCTCTCTCTCTCTCTCTCTCTCTCTCTCTGTGTGTGTGTGTGTGTGTCTGGGTGTGTGTGTGTGTTTTTTTTTTTGTGTGTGTGTGTGTGTGTGTGTAAAAGAGAGTGCACTCACAGTGTTCTCCGAGGAGCTGAAAAGCTTTCTGGACGGAGCTCCTTCCTTTGCTGCATCTCTGAAGGAAGCAGGAAGCAGGAAGGGCAGGAGAGAGCTAGCTAGCCCAGCTAGGCTGACTCAGGAATTCTGGGAGTTGAAGTCCATGAGTCATAAAAGAGACGAGGTTGCCTACCCCGGAGGTTGTTGGACAATAGCTTGAAGCTTGCCAGGTGAGCAGCAGATAGGAGAAAGAGAGAGAGAGAAAGAGAGAGAGAGGGAGAGAGAGAGAGAAGGGAAAGAGAGACCCTTTTGACATCTAAAATGAAGATAACACTGCATATATCCTTTTTTTACCTTTGTGTGTATGTAATTTTATTCTCTTAAAGCATTCTCTTGGTGATCATTGTTTTAATAGTATGGATATTCCCAAGAGTCATATTTTTACTTTTATTTTTAATGTGTGTATGTGTGTGTGTGTGTGTGTGTATACACACACATATACACATACACATACACACACACACATACACACACCTATAATAAAGGTAAAAAAGGATATATGCAGTGTTATCTTCATTTTAGATATCAAAAGGGTTTTGCGGCTCCCAGTGTTTTGTTTTTGGTGGGAAATGGGTCCAAGTGGCTCTTTGAGTGTTTTGGGTTGCCTACCCCTGACCTAGGATTATCCATGCACTATAGACAGAACCTGATATACAATTGTAGCATTATGATTCTAAAAGCTGCTAATTCTTGGCAATTAGATTTCTTTATGATTTTCCTGCCCAGAAAACGTCATATGGCAGTTTTATGTTAATCAGATTTTGGTTAAACAGATTTTTTAAAATCAAGATAATATAAATGCAATTTTGGTCCCTTCTGGGTTTCTCCCACGCTAGGAAGCATAAAATAAATGTAACTATTATTCTAACCAATCATCTATTTGTGGTGTGCATTGTTATTCTGTAGTCTAAACAAGAAGCTTCTTCTATTCCAAACGATTTGCTGCTAAAAGCTGGTAAAAGAAGACTGCAGTAATAAAGACAAGAGGCGCTGATTCTCAAAAAGGGCTATGATTGCAGGCAGGCTATGACCAAAATGAAAAGGGGCATAGCATTACTTGGTTTATTGAACCAGGACAACAACCTGATCAGCAGTTAACTGACCAACAACTAACCCTTTGATTACTACTGTGGGACCATCAATAGCAATAGCACTTATATATCACTCCATAATGCTTTACAGCACCCTCTGATCCATTTACAATGTCAGCATCTTGCCCTCAACAATCTGGGTCCTGGTTTTACCGACCTCGACCTAGGAAGGGTGGAAGGCTGAGTCATCAAGCTAGCTAGCAGAACAGTTTTCTTCATTGTATACTGCAATATTTTTGCCAAGAAATAACATCCTTATTGATAAAACTGCCTTGGTGAATCCAGAACTTGCTAGAAAGCTCTCCCTCAAACATACATGCCTACTGAATCTGTCATCTTAGAACAAGTAAATTAACTCTCCATGTTCAATCTAAGATACCAACAATGATCTATTAAACTGTAAACAGCTTAGGGCCCAAGGTCTTCAAAGATAACGTTCAAAACACCCTCCAACACATCTATTAATGTTACCTGAAGATGCTCTCTGCCTCTGAAACACCAGTGAATTCAGTCTATAGGAGTCAGACCTTCTATATAGGCAGCATGCTAATTTTGGAAGTCAATGGAATGTCACCTGAGCATGTTCTGCCATATTTAATTAGCTGGAGGACTGCCCAATGCCTTCTCAATAGTACTGTCCAAATTCAGAAAGTCTTTCCATTAAATCATTCCCCTTTATTGTCCTCTTGGCAGCAAACAAATAAACTTTCCCTTTTTGTAAGCCACTTCAAGTATAGAATTATGTGACAGTATAAACAGCATGTAACACCATTTTTAGTTATAATCCTTACCTTCGCCCGATGTGTTGGCTAAAGGGCAAGCTGATTGAGCATTATAATAGTTATAGTCCTACATATCTGGACTATATTAGATAGGAGAAGCCAATACATAGATATTATGTTAAACAGAGCTATCCATTCTCAAACATGTCACGTTAAAAATACTTTTAGAAATTTTGTGAGGTATTCATCAAAAGGATGATTAAGAGTGCGTTGGTGTAATGTGATGAATTAAATGTGACATTGTAAGGCCATTGAGGTGGCATTGCAATACTACGCAATAGTCGGCATCACATTTTAGGGCCTTCTTCAGCCATTCATCGTACTGGCAGAGGCTGCATGATGGTGGAAGCCCAATGCACCTTGAAGACATAAGACACCCTGAAGACATAAAATAGGGGAAGGCTGAGTTTCTGATCCTGTTCCCATGACATTATCAACCTCATCCATGTGCCAAGTTGATGTGCAATGGATGAGGAAAAGAAAGAGGAGCCTGAATAAATTCATGCTACATGGCTTTAGACCAGGGGTGTCAAACTCGCAACGTCACATGACGTGTCGCGATGTATCGTGACTTTTTCCCCATTGCCAGCAATGGGGTGGGCACGGTTTTGGTGTGATGCATCTGGCCCGTGGGCCAGCAGTTTGACACCCCTGCTTTAGACTAATGCTTCTGAAGTACAGAAGTGCTGTAACCACATTGTTCTCCATTCTTTATTTTAAAAAACAGGCACTCCACCTTTCTAGCTATAATCACAGTCAAGTGAGATGGCTTACAATAAAAGAATCAAAAGTCTGCAGGTGAACACAGCACTGACAAATATTAACACAGTAGACATATGACTCCATTCAGAACAAGAGTTTAGCAAAGTGAAAGA